TTTTTGATGAAAAATCCCATCCCTTGGATATGATGAGTCTCTTCTCTCTGCATTCAAGAGTCTCTGTTTTTAGCTTTCAACAGTTTAATTATGACGTGTTTAGGGGAATTCATTGAGCTTATTGGATGCAGAAGTTAATATTTTTCATCACATCTGGGACATTTTCAGCAATTATTTCTTGAAATATTCTTTCTGCCCCCTTTTTTCTGAGACTCCCATCATGCATACATTGGTATATTTTATGGTGTCTGTAGGTCTATGAGTCTATTCATTTTCTGTGTTAATTTTTCTTTTTACTCCTCTGACTGGATAATCTCAATAAACTGTTTTCAAGCTCACTGATTCTTTGCTGTCTACTGAAATCTACAGTTGAGCCTCTCGAGTAAATTTTGATTTCAGTTACTATTAACTTTCAACTGCAAAATTTATACTTAGTTCTTTTCTATAATTTCTATCTCCTTACATTTTTTATTTGGTAAGACATTTTTTCATGCTTTAGTTCTGTAGACATGATTTCCTTTAGTTCTTTGAATATATCTAAAATAGCTAATCAAAGTTTTGTCTACTACATTCAACACGTGGGCTTCCACAGGGACAATTTCCATTGATTGCTTGATTTTTCCCATGTATAGGAGTCACACTTTAATGTTACTAGGCATGGTCTGTCACTTTTTCTTGAAAACTGGACATTTTAAATAATATAGAGTGGCATCTCTGAAAGTCAAATTCTTCACCCCAACCTTAGTGTTTAGAATTGTTATTTGTTGTTTTTGTTATTTAGTGACTTTTCCTAATAAAGTCTGTATTCTTTGACATATGGGAACACTGAAGTCTCTACTCAGTTAGTTTAGTGGTCAGCTAAGGATTGAAGAGAGGTTTCCTTAAATGCCAGAACCAATGTTTCCCAGTTTTTGCCAAGGGTCTCTATGAGCATGTTGGAGCATCCCTTCAGTTCTCAGCCAGGCAATTGACAACTGTACCCAAGTCTTAACTTCCTATTTTCACAGAACCTGAAGATGAGCCAGAGGAGAGAGCTTAGGACCTTCTTCTGTTTTTCTGATCATGTGTCCAGCCTTATGCATTTCCAGGAATATGTCAGACCAGAGCATTTCAGAATTTCTAAGGATATCTCATTCCCTGATTTTTGCCTGTTTGCCCCAACTGTTTTCTAATGTTTCCAGCAGCCACAAAGCTAAGCAATTCGATCTAAATTTTTTTTTAATATTCCTTAGGAAAGACTTTCTGCACTGAGTGAGCTCTGAGTCAGGTAAAATAAAGACAGTCTTGCAAGTGGTGTCTTTAAGGGAACCACCAGACAGGTCAAATAACATTTCACTGGAAAGGAGGCTTTGAAGCAACTCAGCCCCATTCTGCTCCCTCCTGTGGTTTCCAGGCTTCTTCTTTTCACTGCAATTGCAGGCTGTTGGTTTTCAAGGCTACCGCAGAGCTGGAAAGAGAGGCATGGGAATAGGGCAAATTAAAGCTCACTGCCCTTCCTAAAATTCAACTATTTTTCTGAAGTGAATGCTCCCCAGATTTACAGCAAGCATTTTGTTAATTTCTGTAATTCTGAAATACTTTATTCTGACATTCTTTTTTCCAGTTTTCTCACTGCTTTTATAGAAGAGAGAATTCTGGGAGGTCATTATTCCACCATTTTTCCTGTCTCCTAAGTCTCTGATCTTCAGCACACATTTTTAAAATATTCTCTGTGATGAAATGGAAGAGCATATAGATCAGTTCTGCTGCACTGAAGTACAATGGTTGACTCAAAAGTGCTTGTGGAATCCAGTTGCAAGCTGAACTAGCTGCTTTTTTCATGGAACACCATTTTTACTTGTCAGAATGACAATTGTTTAAACATGAGTATTTGGCAGATATTTTCTTGGAAAATGAGTTAAGTGAGCCTATCATTTTAAGGAGAAAAACTGACAACTTGCTACCAATAATAAATTTCAAGCAACAGTAACAATTGAAAGCTTGCATATTACAAGTTTGACAACTTCCCAATAGTTCTGTTTTTCTGATGGGATTGGTAATGATGTTAATGAATGTAATCTTTTGATACAACATAATGAAATGTGTATTTGGAAGGACTGCATTATTTCATTAACCATTTTCCAATTAATTGAATCATGAATTTTTTTTAAAAATCATGATTTTTAACAAAGTAGGTAAATGATTGTTTTTAGAATCCATCTTTTAAGTTTGATAGACTAATAGATTTTAATATGAGTATAAATTTTATAGATAAGTTTTCAGACTTCACATTTCAACTAACCCTTAATTAACTCCCACTTGTCAAGTTGCGGTATAATATCAAAGAAGAATATCCACAATTATTTGAAAAGGCTACTAAAATATTTTCTTGCCAACTGCATATCTTCTTTAAGGCAAGATTTTCTTCATATAGTTCAGCTAAAATAACATTTTAACAGATCAAAAATAGAAGCAAATATGAGAATCTAGCTATTTCCTATTAATTCAGACATTAAAGAGAATACATAAGTATAAAACAGTGCCACTCTTCTTACAAATTTTTTAGTTTTCAAAAGTTAATTTTTCATTAAAAATATATTAACATGTAATATGTTTATCTAAAGGTAATTAACACAATTTAAAATTTTATATTTTAATTCATACTATGGTAAGTATCAAAAGCTATAATTCACATAAATAAAAGTTCTTTAAAGCCCTTAATAATATTTAAAAGTACAAGAGTCCTGAGTCAGAAGAGCCTGAGAACTGCTTATTGCTAGTTTTTCTATGATCAACGCTCTAATGACAAATAAAGGTGACTGTTGTTTCCTACTTAATTCAATTGCCTATATTTAGTGCCAATGTTTTTTTGTGACCCATGTCCAAAATCTGCCAATTCTCACAAACATGATGGTCAGAGTTAACTTGCACAGAATTTTTAATGCTAAAGTCTTTCTTCTTGAGTAGGCCATGCTTCTCTATCTCCAGGCCTTTGTGTTGGCTCCTCTGCCTAGAAAACTCTCCCACCCATTCTCCTAACAATTCATATTTATTCTTCAGATCCCAGTTCAAATATCACTACTTCTAGGAAGCCTATGCAGATCTATTCCTTCCAAGTCTCTTATGTCCTCCAGATTTGATTAAATAAGACTCTGTAATTTCTCTTATAGGTCCATGCACTGTTCTTTAATAGCACATATCCCAATTTGTAAATGTGTTATTTTTTAGATTATTTGATTGATGCCTTTATCGACCTCTAAACTTTAGCTCTACAAGGACAAGGTTGTTTTGTTTTGTATTATTTGCTTACCATTTTATCCTCAATATGTGTTTGGCAGCATACATATGCAGAATGAGTCAAATATTTTCCAACATGAAAACCACATGTTGAGGCAAGGATGAGTATATTTTGTTGATTGTCCCATCATTTTAAATAGTTTTCCAAATTATCAACCATGAGTTATGGGAGATGTTGAAAAGAGTTTCTATTATATGGAATGCAAGTAAAAAGATATCTCAGCAGTACAATCATTCTGAAAGAAATCAGATGCTTGATTTGCTCACACATATGCCATTTCACAGAATTTTCTCCCAACTTATGCTTCTTAGTTTCCAAGCTTTTTAAAAAATAAAATATGAAAAGACTTTTTACTAATGGTTATTCTGGGTCTTTCTCTAAAAATAACTTTTAGTAAATGCTGGAGGAGATTGCATTCATGTATTATTTCTTTTGGGACTAATGACACATTTTCCAACTTCAGAAATTGTTTTTAAGACCGCAGAAGTATCAGATTAAACTAATGTGGTGACTACCTCAGGACAGTAATATTTTATTCTATTTTTCTTCCAAGAATGTAACTGTTAAAAATTACTACAGTTATTTATTCTTCACTTTACAATTTATTAATGGCAGGGATCATATTTCATCCTTCTTCCATGTGAGTAACTTTTGTGTATGTTTTCAGGCAGCAGAGACAAATAGTTTTTCATTTGTGAACTCTGGACTTTGGTCCTGTTTTAATTAGGAGACTTGAAATTTGGATGAAGGCAGCATATTGTCCTTTCAGATAGCTAGGCAATATTTGTGAGATCAGTCTAACCATAAGAGTTACAAACCCCTTTCAGATAATAAGTCTAGTATGCTTTAACAGCAGTGCTTTCAGAATTTATAGCCTTTACTTTAGAGCACTCAGTGTTGATCTTATTGCTAATCTCAAATGGTTTTGTTTTACACAGAAACAAATGGATATCAATGCTGCTATTCAAGCCTTGATTGAATCACATACTGCCCTACAGATGGAGGTAATATATTTGCCTTTATTTACATTGGCACACTCAATCTACAAATTAAACAAATATTTTTTCAGAGGCCAAAATGTGACTTTATCTTGAGGCCTGTATTTACAAGAGATTAAAAGTAATGAAACCATTTTTAAGGACAAAGAAAACAATTTTAATAAACAGAAATACATGCATAAGATTTTTAAGGAAAACATTTAAAACAAAAATATTGTCAAAGGATTTTCAAAATAAGAATTTGGTATTACATTGACAATAGTTAAATGAAGTTAGCCATTTCTTAAAATGGCATCTATCATCACTATTCATTTTTCTTAACCTCTGTTTATTCATTATATATAGGTTTTTTTAAATTATGCAGTAGGGATAGTAATTGTTAAGTTTTATGTCAGCTTGAAAAGTAAATTTTGAAAGTGTGAATCTAAGCTCTTGTTAGGATCAAGATTAACAAAACACAAATATGTTTATAGTTAAATATAAACTGTTGTTTACATCCTACTCTCAATCACTGCACCCAATAGGAGTACACTTTTCTTCTGTCTTGATCTTTGTTGATCACTTGGGTTACATACTGGTAATGACTACTCTATGCTTCTTTGCTAATATGATTTTCATGATGACTTGGCAGAGCTACCAGAATACTGAAGTGACTTTAATTGACCACAGTGCAGAGATCTTCAAAACCTTGAACTATCTTAGCAATTTACTACACAGCATCAAGCATCCTCTTGGCACACGAGATAATCCAGCACAAATCTGCAAAGATTTGCTTAACTGTGAACACAAAGTATCAGACGGTAAGTTATTGGTTTCCTTAAACTGTGATATTTCATCATTTCAGTGTGTTTGAGATTTCAGGTATATTTATGCCAAATCTTATCATTTTTGATAAAACCCTGGCAGAGGCATTTTAAGGTCATCAAGAACCAAATACGTACATCTTTAGGTAAATATGTTTTCTGATATCAAAGTATTCTTTTTAAGGTTTTGCTTTATAAAGATCTTTTACTACAAAATCTGACATATACCCAGATTTTCTTACACCATCTATGTCACTTGCTTATACTCTGTGCTTGGAATTCATGTTAAAAATAAAAATAGGAAAGGTTAACTTTTGAACTAACAGACAAATATTATCTGTCAGGACCACCAGAGTTGGCAACATGAAGAAAGAGATCATAGTTCCCCCCTCTACTACACTCCCTAAAATTAATTTTTACATAAAATGGAATTTAAATGCCTCATTTTGGAATTTGACTGTAAAGATGGAGGCTTGTCATACTTGGAATCTTCTCATCCTCACATTGATACCTCAAAGTCCATTAGCCAGAGTTGCAAAAATAGAGCCATCAAGCAAAAAGGTTTAAAGCAAGTGGAGGAGCCACTACTATCTGATGATCAACAGGGAAACCCTGTCTGCTACAATGTCATTTAATTTTAATTTTGATGGGGTCTATATAGTCAGCTATACAATCAATGTAAGTAGTTATTTTTGGTAAAAACTCTAGTCCTAACATACAATGATACATATGCTGACTTGAAAATAAGTTATTTAATTCTGTAGGATGGACAGTAAGTTCATATTTTATTTTTATACACATGTGTTTACATACAGATATACATGTCTAAATACATATTTGTCCAGAAGCATCTTCCATTCTAGAAGTGTAGCAAAAATATTTGTTTTATTTATATTAATAAAATACTTCTATAGGTGTTTCCTGCCTTAGATTATCACAAAAACAAATAATATTTCTAGTTATAGCTGCCCTTCATAATAAAATTTGACTCTTTCCTATATTTGAGGGTATAAAAATGTAATTCTATAGAACTGAAAGAAACAAAGACATTATAGGACATATCAATTACTAAAATCTAATTCAAGATCTGCCTTCCTCCTAGAAGAAACAGCTAAGTTGTGTGGCTTACAAGGTATCAGGAAAGTATTTATGCCCCAAAATACTTTCATCACTAGGAGATTGTAAGTGCAGTAGAAGAACACAAAACAACATGGAAGGGGGGGGGGGTATGATAGAAAGTAGGGTTAGGGGTGAAGTTTTAAATAGAGTAGGTAGATAATCTCTGAGAAAGTGGCATTTGAGCAATATCTGGAAGCCACAGGAAATCTGAGGGAAAGAGCTTTCCAGGAAGAAAGAACAAATGCAAAGACCCTGAACCTGTATTTAGCATGTCCTATTAGCAAGAAGGTTAAGGTGACTGGAAGAGGGCATAAGGAGAAGAATGGTAGGAAATGAAGTCAGAAAGATGTCAAGAAACAGATTATACAGGACATTATAGACTAATCAAAAGTCTCTAGCTCTTACTCTGAATAGGATGGAAAACTTTGGAAGAGTTAGAGCAAAGGAATGACAAGACTTGACTTAAATTTTGAAATGTTACTCTTGGTGATGTATCGCAAATATAATGAGGACAGGGTAGAAAGAGCCATTTAGAAAGCTACAAAATTTAATCCAGTAAAAGATGATGATGGTTTGGACTACAGTTAGTGGTGGGGAAGTGGTAAGAAATGGTCAAATCTTTGGATAAACTTTAAGGTAGAGCCAGCAGGTTTTTTTGTTGATAATTCAGATATGGATTATAAAACAGAATGATAAAGAATGACTCTAAGAGTTTTGACTAAAGGACTAGAAGAGTGGAATTGCTGTCTATACAGATAGAGAAGCAGGTTTGGAATCAAGATGAGGAGTTCAGTTTTGGAGGTATTTGAGATGTCTTTTAGACATTCAAGGAAGTATGTCAAGTAGGTAGTTTGCTATTCAGGAGAGAGGCCCTGGTTATGGATAAAATATATAAAGTAATTTGCATATAAATAACATCTAATGCCCTGAAACTCTCTAGGACTACCTAAAGAGTAGATTTTTAAAAGTTCTAAAAACTGTGCCATAGAACTCTTCCATGTTTAGAGATCAGGGAGTTGAGGAGGAACTAGCAAAGAAAACTAAGAAGAAGCTATCACTGAGATAGGAGAAAAAGTAGATGAATGTGAAGAAAATGTTTGCCTGAAGAGGCAGAGATCTACTGGGTCAATGTCAAGTTAGGTGAAGGCTGGGAAAAGGCTACTAGATTTAGTAATGGAAAGTTCTTTGATGCTTTTTGAAGAGCAATTTAGAGGAATGGTAGCAGTTAAAACTGTATCAGGTTTTAAGAGAAAATGGTGGAGCTGGAGAGTTTCCATTCTCAGTTATGAAGCAGGAATTCAATTTGCCTAACTAAATTTTTAAAAGTTAAAAGCATAAAATACTGACAAAGTAGTAAGGATTTTGAAGAACACAGCAGAGATGGGCACACACTTACAGCTGCTTTTACCCTGGGTGCATCCAGCAACTGAATAATGCAACGGGATCAAAGGTTGGAATCCGAAGCCCACAGGTGGTGGGGATTCAGGCTTTCAAAGGGCTGTAATCTGGGAGTAAAAACGATGGGATCAAAGAATTAATGGAGTCAGGACACGAGAGAGAATGAGCCAAAATGAGAAGAGAGGTGAAATCACGGAAGAGATCCAGCTGTACGCAATAAACCTAAAAAGGACTAGGGCATGGCCTTGGGAGTTAATGATGAAAGTAAACAGAACAGGAGAAGCGGACAAAAAAATTGGTGGGAAAGAGTTGGAGGAACTGAGTAGTGGTCAGAATATTACAAATATCAACCACATGGATGTAAAATCACCAATAATTAGGTTATAAAGAGCTAGCCAAAAGCTAATATCAAAGAAATAAAGCTGATGATGGCAACAGGAACAGGTGACAGGCGATAGAGTGTGATGACAACAATTTTACCATGGAGTGTTCTCAGATTGAAAGCAGGGAGAATGGTCTGAAAGTGGCAACAAGGAGCAAGAAAGACCCCTTCCTGACTCAGGCACAATGCTGTAGAGGCTGTGGCAAAAAGGGCCTGCATGGAAGCAGTGTTCTCAGGAGAGAGCCAATTTTGAGTTCAAGCATTTAGGCCTACAAAAGATGTATTATGGTATAAGGCTTATATCCTAAAAGAAATATGAAGCCCCCTACCAGTTCACCAGTGAACAACAATGCCTGAGTTCAAAGCACTCCAACCCATATAAGAATGAGATCTTGCTTGATGGAAAACCTTTTATAAAGCATATGTTCGCTCACATAGTAGAGGAAACTATTTCTTGAATGAGAGATGATGAGTCAAGATATATGTCTACCTCATTAGTTAAGGGACTTCCCTAGTGGCTCAGATGGTAAAGCGTCTGCCTACAATGTGGGAGACCTGGGTTTGATCCCTGGGTCGGGAAGATCCCCTGGAGAAGGAAATAACAACCCACTCCAGTACTCTTGCCTGGAGAATCCCATGGACAGAGGATCCTCTTAGGCTTCAGTCCATGGGGTCGCAAAGAGCCGGACACGACTGAGCAACTTCACTTCACTTCACTTCATTAGTTAAGACTGTAAGCCTGAATCAGATCCCGGTTTTAAAAAAGCCAGCTGTAATTTCTACAACCTACAAAATGTCCAACATTCTGAGGAAATCGGGGGGGAAATAATGGGATACAGAGGTGATATTAGGACTTTTTCAGCCTTTTCTTCCATACAGTATAGATCGGTGATTCTCCAAATATCATCCATGAACCAGAATTAGATGCAGATTCTCAAACCCCATCCCAAATGTAATGATTTAGAAACTCTAGGGGTGGGGCACAGATGTTTTAACAGTCACCAAAGTCTGAAAACCACTACAATAGAGATAGTCACCTACTCTTGAAGTAACAATTCAAGTTTTCATTTTGTAGGATTAGAAGAATAGCAGAGGGGGAATGGTCAAGGATGTGTGTAAATCTACAAAGACAGACCAGGGGGAGCCCAGAATAAGCTACAGGAATCTTTGCTATGGGGGAAAAAAAATGAAAGAAACAAGGGTTTTTTTACCTATTATAGAAAATGGCCTTTAACAAATACTGTTTGTTTTGTCTTGCCTTTTTAATGCAAGAAGGCAGGGCCATCTCATTCAAAAATTCCTGCTCTTTGCATTTAGAATAAGGTGCTCTTTTAATATTCTGAGCCTGTTATTCCAGAATTAAGATGCTACTCCGGTACTTTTCAGTTTGAATAAGTCCTAAAGTCCAACTTTACGCCGCATTTGACTCTCCTGGACACTCAGTGGATGCAAAGGTTGGCAGACTTACACTGGCTATAGAGACTTCAGTCTTTTCCACTCACAAATCTGAAAATAAAGCACAAAAATAACCATTTAATTGTACACTTTTCTTCTGGAAACAAAAATGCTTATTCTTTTTAATTATCAATTAAACAAAGATAGATTTTTCTTCAGGGAGACTGAAGAGGTTTCTATTTTTAAAATATATGTATTCATTTTTAAGCTCTGTAATGACATAGAACAAAAACACATACATATCCTACATTAATTTCAACTTCTCTATTAACTATATGTAACTGTAGACAATTCACTTAAGTTGCTGAGTTCATCTTATCTATAGCATGAAGTAACAAATTATTTTTTATTAAAATTATGAAATGGCCTTAAATTGATAGGTATGTGGAAAATAAAGTATTTTCACTATCAGTTTAACATAATGCTTGCAGCTTTTATTTTTTCACTAAATGTATTAATTTAAATGTATGATCTTTATAAACTTCTAAGTTTTTTAACAGGAAAAAGTGTGAAAAAATATGTTGAAAGTATGATACTTTTTAAGGATTGTTCAGAAATATTTAACATGTCATTTAAATATTTTTGTTTCACAATAAATAGGAAAATACTGGATTGATCCAAATCTTGGCTGCCCTTCAGATGCCATTGAGGTTTTCTGCAATTTCAGTGCTGGAGGTCAGACATGTTTATCTCCTGCCTCTGTGACAAAGGTAAATTCTGAATTTAGCATATATACTGATACTTGCCCACTATCAGTAAATAGTGATTTTTAAAAAATCTTCCACCTCAAATAATTATGAATTTTATGAGTGGAAGCAAGATATTCTCTACCATATATGAGAAAGAAACTTTTTGGTTTTTAAAACTAATCCTGTTAATTCTTGACCATTTGATTACGTATTTTTATGACTGGCTTAGTTTGGCTTACTCTACTGACTATGGTTTTTAAATCCCTTTTAAAAATGTAAAACATATGTTTTTATGCTCATGCATTCATTAGAAAATTCCCAAACAGCTGCAATGTTTGTATTCAGTAATCAGTTAAAGTTTTTACTGAAAATGACATCATCATCGTTAAAAGAATTCTGCCACAAAACTTGCTGTTTTGGGTGATTGGGAACAAAAATAACCTCCCTGAAATACCCACTGGGTATTATTTAAAATGTCTTATATGTATAATTCCATAAATGTTTAGAATGAACGAAAGTTAGTTTGGTATAACACTGGGTATTGTAACAAGCATTTCTCAATCCTAAAGTTTAGTTCTACGTATAACATATATCAAAGAAACCAAAACTGCATTTCTTTCTTTCTCTGGTTAAACTACCTTGGCCTTCCCAAGAACTAATTTTTCATTGACAAAGAACTGATACATGGACGTACTGTGTGTTTTTTCCACCATAAGAAGGCATCAGCTAAAAAGTACAGTGTATCAGTCTCTCCAACTGCTTAGAATTAGACTGTCCTCTTCTCCTCAAACGTTCCCCCTCATTAACCAGGGTGTTTTATCCACTCATCTCAATAGGTATTCACCACTGTTACCCAAAGCAGAACAGGGGAGGACTCTTCTATTCCTGTGGAATCTGTGTAATGCTAAAGAGGAGCAGTAAGATCAACTTGCTTCCAAACTACCCACATAATCACCCTCATGCCCCTGGGTTTAGCCCAGTATTTTTATTTGGGTTATCATGGAAGAAAAGGAGAGGGGAGTACAAAGAAGATAGAATCAGTGAAGGAGCTGAATCAATTCCCCCATTTTTCCCATCCATAAATTCAACCTGAGAAAGACCGCACAGGTAATGGAAAGAATAGTAGACTTGGAATCAGGGACCTGGATTCTAATTTCTGTTCCTCTGAAAACCTGGGAAATGATACTGTGAACCACCAGAAAGCCCACTCCTTGCCAGGCACTGTACTAACTAAATGACATCCTTGTAGCAATCCTGTATTGGTGTTATACCCAAATTTGCCAATAAGGAAACTGGGCTTAGAAAGGCTCCGTATTTCACAGGTTTGTAGTTCTCATTTGCAAAATCAAAGAATTCAAACTGCTTCAGCTCTCATGTTCCTCATGATGATCCTTCCATGTTTTCATCCTTATGCCCCCCCACCACCACCTTTGCCTTTCTTCTCTTTCCCTACAGTTTTTTGCTGTTGTTCTTATAACCTTATAACTGATATTCTGATTTGGTGACTGGAGATTAGTATAAATTCCTCAGTAGGAACCACTTCTATTCATTTATGTTATAACCATACCCCTGTTTGAATAATGCTAAAATGATGATGATGTCTAAAGCTACAGAAAAATCTGCTTCCTTGTCCAAATCTAGAAACTCCTTGCTCCAATACTACCCTACATTGTTCACTTTATTAGTTAATATTTGTTCATGCATTCATTCATGCAATAAACAGCTATTGACGACTCACTGTATGACCAAACCTGCATTAGGGGTTGGCTAACACAAAGATTAAGATTCTGTCTTTGTCTTTAAAGGCTCCATAATTGAAATAATTCAACCAATTAATTATTACAACTTTTAACCTATCATTGGAAACTAAAAAAATAAATCTTCAAATGAAAGCACAGACAGAATTTCAAATTTCTATGAAAGAAATTTTAAGCAATAATCCACAACAAATTATTAATGCATCTTAAATGACATTATGCAAGCTATTTTTTTTAGTCCTATTTAGTTGCCTAGTGATATGCTAACGCCAGCTCATACTGCTCAGGAGAGCCTATTTATTGTTAAGATCTCTTGTGAATTCCATGTTAAGTGACACCACCTGGAAAGCCTAAAATCAGCCATGGTAGGAGTACTTACAACTCTGGAAATTCAGAAATTGCTATAAATCGGGGGTGCCCTCCTGCCCCACCCCTGCAAGGGCCAGTGGCTAAGCATTTACCAGTACACTACTGACTGGCACTTAAATATCCTAAAAAGTAGCTTTCTCAAGGCTGCCTTTTAAGGACTTTCTTTAAGTTTCTCCAAACTATAAATTTTTCAGTTGCCATATCTTATAACTTGCCTATTGTTTCAATGACATTAGTTGGAGTTTGGAATCGGGAAAGTCCAGATGAACTTCCTTCATTTACTGAGCTCAGAAGCCACCCATATCATCACCATTCATTGTCTAAACACTCCAGTGTGGACAAGTCCTCAGACAAGTGGCTCAGGATTGACTCTTGGTTTCAAGGGATGGAATGGTCAGATTTTTGAAGAAAACACTCTACTTGAACCTAAAGTGCTTTCAAATGACTGCAAGGTAAGGGAATGGCACGTTCAGAATTATTCAATATAACTAACTTAAAATTGAAGACTATATATAATTAACAAAGAGTAAAACTATATAATTAATATGAGTAAGACATTGCAAATTGAAGCTACAGAAGAATATGTTTTAATGTGCCTAATGTGTAATGACCACACATTTGTCAGAATCAATTATTCATTTATATCAACTTTTGTCACACCCATTGGTCATCCATGGAGTTTTATATGCAAAGCAGGTGTTATTAATGTATTAATTTTTATTCCCCATATGAAATAATTATAGATGATAGCAGATGGAGTATAGGGCCTATAGACAAATGTTTTCTTTTGTATATTTTTACCGTGATCCTGCATCTCATTACTTCATGAAAAACAGGTTATAGAGGCAAGTCAGGTTTATTTCATATTTTGTCAGTCCCCATACCTGATGCCAAATAATGGGCAAAATGGCAGTTTGACTCTACAAATCAGTATCTGAATCATAGCCCATTTTTCCTATTAAAATTAAATAATAATGAAGAATTTATAATTTTAAAACATTGTATTGTAGAGCAGGTGTTGGCAAACTACAATCCACAGACCAAATCTAGCCCAGCATTTTCTTTACTAAATATATGTTGTTGAAACACAGCCACACTCATTCATCTCTTTATTATCTAGGGCTGTTATCACACTACAGTGGCAAAGTCAAGTATATATGACCCACAAAACCTAAAAGATTTATTTCTAACCCTTTACAGAGGAGTTTGTTGACCCCTTTTATAGAGTTATCCACTTACATATCATTAACTTCTTTAAGGAGCTCTTGTGTATCATGAAGCCCATGATTTAACATGTTTTATATTTAGAGTGCTTTACTTTTTCACAACATTTCACTTTCAGATAAACTACACTTGCATATTTGAAAAATCATAAAATAAATAGAAATATATGGCTTGCTCTCTGTAGGTGAAGAAATCAGCATTACCAACAAAATTAACTTTCACAATTTTGTCCAGAACTTTTAGTGACTCATTACTGTTTCTGAGACACAATCAAAACTTAGCAGCAGTTAGAATAGTCAGGCCCCAACCTATTTTTCAAGCTTGGGCTTTCACTGAGTGTGTACCCTGAACTCTAGTCAAACTGATCTATTTATAATAATACCAACAATTCCTACTACTAATTATTGGGGACTTATTAGATGACAGGTACTATGTATTGCATACATTATTTAATTATAACAGCTCTATGAAGTTACCGTTAGTATCATTTTATAGGTAAGAAAAACTGAAGGCATAGAGGTTAAGTAACTTGTTCAAGGTGCAGCAGAGCATGAAATCAACCCTAAGTGTGTACAGTTCCAAAGTCAATGCCACGCTATATTGCCAGGGTCTTTTAATGCAAATCTCACTTAATCCTCACTAATTCACATTTTATACGTGAGAATACCTATACCTGGGTGTCTATCAAAATCTGTGCACTTAAACCGCATGCTAGGCTTATTTTCACAACTGCTTTCTACCTTTCCAACTGTTTTGGTTTTTTTCTATTCATGTCATTCCCCTTCTCTGAAATGCTGTTTTCTACTCCTCTAACCAAGTAGAAATTGTACATACTTTAAGGCCTATCTCCAATTCTGAATATACAAGGCTTTTCCCTGACTCTTCTAGCTGGAAATGAGGAACTCAGCATTCACTCTGTATATTCGTTATGATGCATGTCATACATGGCCTTATCTTACGGCTGTTTGTTTCTCCTCTCCCTGACTAAATTTATAAGCTGCAAGAACTCAGAGGCCAGAATTTACTCATCTTTGTATTTCCCAAGAACTGTAAGAAACTGGAGGATTACATTTTATTCAACTGTGCCAAAAATACTTAATCTTCAACAAATATTGTTTGAGACTTAATGAAGTTACAGAGAATTCTAGCCTAATTATTACCCCAAGGTTATGACTTTGGTAATTTATCTTCTGTGAGCTTCAATTGCCTTAACTTAAAATGGAATTTATAGCTTCAATAATCTCTAAAGTTCCTTCAAATTCTAAAATTTATACCATGATAATTCTGTGAATGAGTAAAGGAATAAACTCCTGTATAAAAAGCCTCACAAAGCTAGTTAACTGTTTCTCTATTTTGTCTTCCTGAAACTTAATCAGAGTATAGTTTTTATTTTATATTAGAATTTACCCTCCAAAAAAGAGCATACAGTAATAAAAGGAAACAGAAAGGCCTAGAAAGAAAGGAAGGGAGGAATGAAACTATATAAACAGTAACCACAGAATGGAAAAAAAGAAACCTAAAAGATAACTCAACATAATTATAATTTACTTGTACTGAAGTGATTCTGCATATTTCCTGCCTAGAGTACAGAGAGGGTAAGCGCACTCATTCCCTTTCATCCAAGACAAGTGTCCATCCTGAAGCATCAGTGCCAAATAAAGGAAAACAAAATGGGTATTACTCACATTAGAATCAGGGCATATCTGGTCCAATGATCCACAGACAACAGAAACAGGAAGCCTCAAGAAAAATCAGAACACACAATGCCATCTAGAAAATGGAATAATCATATATTTTCAATTATTCATAGTAAATGTCACCCATTCATTGAGCACTTACTCTGTGCCAGGCATTATTCTAGGCACTTTCTATTCATTATTTCGAATCCTTAAATCTACCCTGTCTATGAAAACACATTGTCTGCTGCTAATGGAAAAATTAAAGATCAAAGCATTTTGTTATTTTTCAGATTCAAGATGGCAGCTGGCATAAGGCAAAATTCCTTTTTCACACCCAGGACCCTAATCAACTTCCAGTAATAGAAGTACAAAAACTTCCTCATCTCAAAACCGAACGGAAGTACTACATTGAAAGCAGTTCTGTATGCTTTCTCTAAGGTCTCTGAATTAGTTCAGAATGCATGCTGTTGGCCAGGTAATTGCTGCAGAAGGAAAAATATAGACAGAAAGGTACTATTGGATATCATGAAATGCATGGAATAAAGCATTGGCTAAATTTTAAAGAATCTCAGGAAGAAAAGACTTCCTCCTAAGAAGGAGACAAGGCATTTTTTAAAGGACTATAACTGATAAAGTATTTAATTCTTTAAAAAATTATATTGATCTGAGCTTTCTTAGAGAATTCCCTAGAACTGAACATTTATAAACATGGAATTCTTCAGGGTATTCTATATTTTTTGACTGTCTGAGAGCAAAGTACCCATTAGACAGCTGGAGATGCAAAGCACTAGGGAGCAATACTGGCTAATGCTCCCATATGTGCAATGCTTCTGTCTAAAAACTGCAAGCCACAGTCTAATACGTCTTCTTTTCCCAAATACTAAGCTGTATTCAGGTCCCCAGTGGGCATATACATCTTAGCCGGTGGTACACTACCTCTTACGTGTTGCCTTTTTGTGTTGCTTGGTGCTCTTTCTAAAACACGGTGCTTGTGGCTTTCATAGACTATTTTATTTCTTTATTCGTCTTTGTCATTCTTTAAGAGTGTATGTACTGGTTACATCAATATATGTTTTGGTTGTTAGTACTTATTTTAATTTGTTTGGTCATATACTTAATATCAAGTAAAACATTATTTATGTGAAGTTCTTATTTTAAAATTCTCTTTGTGGATATAAAATCAAGGCTAGCACATTGTAACCTGTGCTTAAGCACAAGAGAATTGGGAGGGGGTTTTATTGTTTATGTTTTAAATTGCTGTAAAAAATATTATAGGCCAGCTACATCCAGTAGTAGGTTTGGGTTAGAGTTTAGGGGTTGTGATATACTATTTTAAAAAATCCATGATCATCTGGAATGATATTTTGTGTATATATATTTTGTAAAGTTGTTATTCAGCAAATCTTTTGAAATTGCTGCTGTTTTAAATTATAAAAACTTTGTTTCTGTTTCATAGAAATTACATGTTTTTTAATAATTCATTGATTTTCTTTCACCGTTCTTAAATTTAATGTGTTGGGACCTAAAAGAATTCAATTTGCCAGTCATTAAAGCAACATTCAAGAAAACAAAATCAGTCTTTTGCCATTTAAAATAGGTTAAGTTCAGACTTTCCTTGTCAGAGAAATGTTAAGCATTAAAAATATTATACCTTTTGGTATACTGAAAAGCATGTACATCCATTATAAACATACCATCAAACCACACTTACCTATCTATAATAAAAATGTGCTTTAATATCTTTTTTGGTGTTTTTTTTTTTTTTTAAACCATACCATTTTATTACGTAGGACAGCCTCTTTGGCTTAGACCTTCTGTACTAGAAAGTTTCTATTACACACCTATAAAAGGATTATAGAGCCTATTTCCTACTCAAAATGAGGTCATGGCATAGAAACTCTCTCATATATGGGCAACTGATTTCTAACAAGGGCGCCAAGCCCATTCAGTGGAAGAAGAACAGTTTTTTCAACAAATAGTTTTGGGAAAACTAGATATCCATATGCAAAAGAATGAAGTTGGACCTTTATCTTGAATGATATACAAAAATTTACTCAAACTGATGAAATCTATTACTGTAAAAAACATTTGGGATAATATCAAAAATTTAAAAAATAACATAAAATGTATCAAAGTCCTAAATGTAAGAGCTAAAATTATAAAACTCTTAAAACTTAGGTGAAAGGCTTCATGACATTAGAATTGGCGATTATTTCCTGGATAGGACACCAAAAGCACAGTTGACAAAAGAAAACAATAAACTGGACTATAGCAAAACTTAAAACTTCTGTGCAAAGGACACTATCAAAATAGTAAAAAGACATCCCACTGATTGGGAGAAAATATTTGCACCTTATATGTTCGATAAGGGATTACTATCCAAAGTATATGAAGAACTCTTAAAACCCCAAACCAAAAACAACAAAAAACCCTCAAGCAACCCAAATTAAAAAATGGGCAAAAGACTTAACAGATATTTCTCTGAAGATACACAAATGGCCAACAAATGAAAAGATGCTCAACATCACTAGTCATTAGGTGCAAATCAAAACCATAGTTAAATACTATTTTGTACAAATTAAGATGGTTATTACTATCCCCCCAAAATAGGAAAATAACAAGTGTTGGTGAAGATATGAAGAAACTATAATCCTTATAAATTGCTGGTGGGAATGTAAAATGGTACAACTGCTATGGAAAATAATTTGGCAGTTCCTCAAAAGTTATACACATAGAATTACCATATATGATATAGTAATTCTACTTCACATATATACCCAAAAGAACTGAAAGAAAAAATCAAACATATTTTTACACCAGTGTTCATAGAAGTATTATACAGAATAGCCAAAAGATGGAAATAACCCCAGTGTGTATCAATAGATGAACTGATAAGCAAAATGTGGTGTGTACATACATTGGACTATTATTAAGCCTTGAAAATGAAATTCTGATGTATGCTCAAACATTGATGTACCTTGAAAACATTATGCTACATGAAAAAAGGCAAACAAAAACAGGTAAATATTGTATGATTCCACTGATATGAATTACCAAGAATAGACAAATTCTTAAACAGAAAATATAACAGAGGTTTATCAGAGGCTAAATGAGGTAAAAATAAATTATTTTTTAATGAATAGAGTTTCTGTTTGAAATAATGACAAATTTCTGGAGATGGGTGGTAATGACAGCTGTGCAACAATATGAATATACTTAATGCAACTGAATTATACACTTAAAATTGTCATTTTAATCATTTTATGTTGTATATTTTACCACAATTTTTCAAAATGGGGCTATGGCAAAGATGTCAGATTTCTTGCTTGAGAAATAGAAATGTTTTTAAAAGGAGCCAAGACTGATTCTCAGGTGGCTCAGACTGTAAAGAGTCTGCCTGCAGTGCAGGAGACCCAGGTTCAATCCCTGGGTTGGGAAGATCCCCTGGAGAAGGAAATGGCAACCCACTCCAGTATGCTTGCCTGGAAAATCTTATGGAGGGAGGAGTCTGGCAGGCTACAATCCATGGGGTTGCAAATCAGACAGGACAGAGCAACTTCACTTTCACTTTCGCTTTCAAGACTGATTCTAAATATAAGAACCCACAGTTTATCCTCTGGTTTCAGTTTATATGCTATACCTTCTGTTCTCCCCCTACACAAAAAAACTTTATATTAGAGGCATAAATGATTTTCCTAGATTTTATTTCAGAAATATATATATATAATAGAAATACCTTACTTTGTGTTCATGTTTTGTTCCTGAAATATTAAATTTAAAGCAAATTTTAATCAACTTAATTATAGGTGGTTATAGACATTTCTCCAAAGACATAGAGATGGCCAATAGGCACAAGAAAGGATGTTCAGCATCACTATTTATTTAAGAAATGCAAATCAAAACTATAATGAGATATTACCTCACACCAGCCAGAATGGCTATTATCAAAAAAATCCACAAACAATAAATTCTACAAAGGGTGTGGAGAGAAGGGAACTCTCCTACACTGTTTGTGGGAATGTAAATTGGTAGAGCCACTATGAAGAACAGTATGGAAGTTGCTTAAAAAACTAAAAATAGAGCTACCATATGACCCAGTAATCCTACTCCTGGGCATAGAAGAAAAACAGAGAAAAACATGATCTAAAAGGATACATACACTTCACTGCAGCACTATTTACAATAGCCAAGACATGAAAGCAACATAAAAATCCATCAACAGAGGAATGATAAAGAAGATATGGTACTTATATATTACTCAGTCATTAAAAAGGGTGAAATAATGCCATCTGCAGCAACATGGATGAACATAGTGTCATACTGAGTGAAGTCAGTCATTCAAAGGAGAAATATCAAATGACATCCCTTATATGTGGAATGTAAAAATAAATGATACAAATGAATTTACTTACAAAACACAAAGAGACTCACAGACTTAGAAAATGAAGTTATGATTGCCAGGCAGAAGGGACAGTTAGGGAATTTGGGACAGTCATGTACACACTGCTATACTTAAAATAGATAACCAAGAAGGATCTATTGTATAGCACAAAGAACTCTATTCAATGTTTGTGGCAGTCTGGAAGGAAAAGGGGTTTGGGGGAGAATGGATACATGTGTATGTATGGCTGAGTCCCTTCACTGTTCATCTGAAACTATCACATTGTTAACTGGCTATATCCCAATACAAAATAAGAAGTTCAAAAAAAAATTCAGACATGATTTACCAACTAAACATATACTATAATGTACATATAACAACACATTATAAAACATTATATATAAACATTTTAAATATATTCTATATCAGTGTTGTATATTAAAATTATAAAATTATAAAATATTAACAATATATATCATACATTTATTTATAATAAATCATCATAGAATTATTATGATGAATAAGCTCACATTATGGGAACTGAAATATTCCACACCTGCAAACTGTAAACCCAGGAAAGGCAGTGATATAATTCAATTAAGTCTGAAGGGCTCAGAACCAAGTCAGCCAATGGTTTAAAACCCATCCCAGGGACTATTAGGTGAAAAGTCCCAACTCAAGAATTCAGAAAGAAAGCAAAAAGGGGAAAA